TATCTTTCACTCAATTCATACCATTTATAAGTTATATAATCCGGAAGAATGCGACCCAAAGACCGATTTGTGTCTCAACCCATCGTTTACTCGCAAAGACATCTTCACGGTATGTATGGGTTGTGACAAACCATTGCAGTAGTAATTAAAGCTATCACTTGTTTGGATCCGTTGACAGCTATATCTCTGCACATCACCCGATGAGCACCCGTTGGCCCACTCTTTGTCATGTATTTATGAAAACAATCGCTTCTCACTCATCGAAGACTACAAACTGTACGTGAATTGCATTAATACTTACGATCTTTAGTTTGGATGTAATGATTGTCTGTAAATGTGATGATTTAGGTCACTGTCGGTGTCACTGCCGCCGCAAACATTGCGCAACGGTTCCCTATATATGCACGCAGTGTTGACTTCGCTGAAGAATTTCAAAGAAATTACTAAAGAAGTACTTCTGCACAGAAGCACATTCACTGCCGTCACTCCTCTCACCAGATATGCCTTAAAGGAGACAAAAGCATTCAATTTGCTTAACACTCAAACCGATCAACAAATCGAAAAGCCGTCGAAGAATAAGAAGAGTTCACACAACCGTCCGGTCACTCATTGGAAACCAAAGATCACTTTGAATATCATTTCAGAACCACTTTCACTGTCGAGGAAAGCACTTCCCGCCGAAATCGCTCATCTCTTTAAGTAAATTTGAATTCACTTTTAATTTATTGTTATTTAAACAAACTTTTACTTTGATTTACAGATTGAATGAAAGGACACAATATTTACCGATTGTATACATAAGTGAAGTTAGACAACGCCTTAAAGACTTATGGGTTTATAATAATTATTTGAAACATTTATTTGTTAATATAATTATTAATTATGTGATTGTTTTTTATGGGACTAATAGCCAGTGAATGAGACCAATCCAATGCCATTGGAAGTGGTCTATGAGCCGACGTCTATCGGAAAACTTAGATTTATGCTTATAATCGAGGGTTCGCTCAAATCGATGACTAAAATGGGTTTCACTGAATCCGATTCCGACGACATTAAAGGCATTTTCTTTGACACTAATATATATCTACTGCTCGTCACTATATTTGTCACTTCATTTCACGTGAGATCCCATTTTAATCGTTTAATTAAAATTTTGATTAAATGTTTTATTTGAAAACAGGTTTTGTTTGATTTCCTCGCCTTTAAGAACGACATTCAGTTCTGGAGAAAACGAAAGTCAATGGAAGGCCTTTCGTTCAGTTCACTCCTCTGGAGATGTGTTTCGCAATTTGTGATAACTTTATACCTTTTGGATAACAAGACATCGTATTTAGTCCTCATTCCGTCGGCCATCGGAACAGTCATTGAGTTGTGGAAACTGAAGAAAGCGCTTAAAATAGAGATTAAAGGATTTAGGCTTACATTCAAAGGTCGAACTGAAGCCGAAAAGAAGACCGATTCTTATGACTCGACTTTTATGAAGTATTTATCTCTCTATGTGTTGACACCTTTGGTTATCGGAGGCGCCGTTTACTCTATTTTATACACACAACACAAGTCGTGGTATTCATGGGTTTGTATCGACTATTGTGTTAGCGTTTGAAATGATAACTTAATTGTTGATTGAATTCGTACATCAGGTGATCCAAAGTGCCGCTAATGGTGTCTATGCTTTTGGCTTTCTGTTTATGTTTCCCCAACTGTTCATTAACTACAAACTCAAGTCTGTGGCACACTTGCCGTGGAGGGCATTCATGTATAAGGCCTTCAACACGTTTATTGACGATTTGTTTGCATTTCTGATTACATCCCTTCCCACCGCTCATAGAGTGGCGGCTTTTCGGGATGACATCGTTTTTATTATATACCTTTACCAGCGATGGTATGTATATTATCACATATACTTCAATCTAGATTTAATTGTTTCTAAATGCCATTTATTCATAAGAATTTTTAACTGAATTTATAATGTATTTGTATTGTTATTGTGAACGAAAGGTTATATCCAGTGGACAAGACTCGAGTCAATGAGTTTGGAGAAAAGGCCGACGAAAAGTCTGAAACCAAGAAAACAAAATAATTCTTATAACTTATTTTCTAAACATTTTCCATTACTTTTCATAAAAATTTTATTTATGTTTTCAACACTATTTTGTAACGATTTATATGTTTTCTATATATCTATAAATTTTATATTTCAAAAGTTTTGTATTGTTATAAAAATAAGTATTAATTGAACAATAAATGATTAGTTTAGAGAGCATTTAAATTGATGTTATGATTGATTAAAAAGACGGTAATTTATTGGAAACCATTTTTTATTGGATAAATATATTTAAATTAAAATACATATCAATAATATAAAGACATAATCAGTAACAATGCGTTTGACTCGAAGAACAAAACCAATTTTGACACTTTGTTTCAATTC